TATCCCAAATGCGCATTCCGATTTGGGATATCCGAAATGATCATTTCGGACATTAACGCATTTGGGCTACAACAGAACGACTATCAACATAACATACCATAAAGCACTTGCCAAATCTGTTACAAATTTTTTTCCAACATTTTGTGCAAATACCTTTCCTTTCCATCCACCACCCTAAATTTTAATCCAATTAGATAAATCAAGTCGCAACGTTTCCAATTCATTCTTTGGATCAATATTAAATTCTGAAACAAATATATCATTTGAATTGGCTCTTAAAATATCAAAAGCATTAATAATAGGAGCCCTACTAAAATCTGTTATTTCTTGAGATATAATATAAAAATTTACAAAAATTCCATATTGACATGCGGCTTCCCAAGCAATACATTGTTGCTGAAATCTTTTCTCCAACTAATGTTTTTGATGCTAAATTTTACTTCAAACGCTGCATCCCACAAATCAGACGTTAAGTATAAACTGATACATTTTCAAAAAATCTTTTATTTTTGTTTCTTTTTCGATAGGTAAACCTTCCCAATCTTTTAAAACTTTAGAACTATGGATTATTCGGTCATGTATAATAGGCATTTTGATTTAGAGATGAAAAGTTCACGCCAAAAAAAAGATTATCACATTAAACGATAGTTAATCAATCACGTGATATAGCTTTATAGTAAAAATTTTTTATTAATAAAAAATAAAACTCGGGTCACCGGGTCAATTTTAAATTTTCATGTTACGTGAACTGAAATTCCAAATTTGCGTGGCCTAATATTCATTTAGAAACATTAGTTAATATTAAACATTAAATTTGACATATTACTGAGAAATATTCCGTTCACGTATATTAATTAAAATAAATGAGTCTAAAATACAGAATCAAATCATTAAATAAATATTTGTTGATGGTTTTATATAAAATATTAGATGCATACGTCGTTGGTCACGTGTATAGATTTTATAGTTTGTGTAATGAATAAATTAATACAGACAGCAGTGCTTACAATACATTTAAGATGGTAAATAATTGAAATTGAAAAACTTTAGAATTTTTACAACACGTCTGTTGGTCACGTATTGAAATGTGAAATGTGTAAAAGATTCGTTTATTTGTTAGTTACAAACCACCAAACTTTCAAATCTGATCGCGTGACCAACTGAAAATACCGGACCGCTGCAAAATTTCTTTTGTCCTGGTTTTATTAAAACAGCAATAACCGTTTAAGGGATTTTAGGCCGGTTCCATCCTATATTCTGGAAGAGTAGTCGGTTATTTATTTTGAGCTATCGAAAAATCTGAGATCTATTGATAATAACATCGCTTAAAAAATACTTTATTTATAAGTTTACTCGACTCTGAGGTAGTAGCAACTGAGCTGCAGAGTGAAGCAACGTGTTTCTCAGCGTAAATAAAAAGAAATATGCATTAATGCATTTACCTCCCATTTTGGCCTTTCTTGTTATCGCGAAAATTTTATTAAAGAACAACTTATTTAGACACATGATTAATAATAAACTTAAATTTTCGTTGTTATCTCAAGTCTCTTTTTTATTGTAGTATTGAAGATATTCCGTTAAATATTCTTTGAATTAGTTAGTACTCAAAATTGTAAATATTTATCAACTTCTATAGCCTTGTTATAAATATGAATTATGATTTTTATTTAGACTAGGCCGTTATTCAGTTCAAATCTTAATGATCAATACGCGCAAATATATATTTCTCTTTTCAAATAAAATAGGCAGATTACGATATTTTAAAAACTAAACTAAATCGATTAATCGTTTCAAAGATTCGAATTTCGAATTTCGAATACTCGATTCTAATCGAATTTATTATGGAGAAGAAGGTATTGTTTTATTATTATTAATCAGAACATTACAAAAAAAATTTATTTGTCAAGGAAAAAATTTTAAACTTATCAAAAAAAAAATTTATATTTAAATTATATGAAATTGTTGTTTATTTTTCCTCCTTTTTGATTTTTTTCTTTCGAGTTGGAAGGAACATAGGTAGAAAAGGGATTTTTTATTTTTTTTTTAATTTTGATATTTGTTTTTTTTTATTTTTTCTGATTTTGATTTTGGTTTTTTATTCATCGTAAATTCATTTTTGATTGGATCGTTTTGGAAGGCATGGGTGTTGTTTTTTTTTTTACATTTTTTTTTCTTTTAAAAATTAAATGAATGGTTGAAGAACTTTCTACTGACTGCATTTGTAGATATTTTATTTTCTTATGGTCGCACTTACAATAAATAGATGTTTTATTTGATTTTTCGATTAATTGAATCGATTCCGGACATTTGTAATCTAATTGCATAGAAAAAAATACTCCTTCTTTACGTTTTGGACTAATAAAATATCATATATTATTACAAATAACAAAATTGATAAAAATCCCACTTTGTCCATAATCTCATTCAACTGGGCGCCTTGATTCACTCTGCTCTTATAAATGAATGCCCATGTTAATTACTAAGAGATTTAAATTCAAAATTTTGGGCTTAGTGGTTGTAAGAATTTAAACTTATATTTGTGGCACTTGAGGAAATGAAATTACATAAATAATTGTCATGCTGTATGAAACTAGGGGATGTAACACGACATGAATTAGGATTTTATAATAAGATTCCCTTTATAGCAAAATAAACAGTTTCACAATACACTAAAAAATAATTAAACGTATTTTTTTTTTTTTTTTTTTTTGTTTATTATAATTGCAAGGTTATTAAAATTATAATAATTTTTCAAATGAATCTCTTTAATAATAATTATATACTTTTATTAATCATTTCATTGGTGATATATCCAATAAATCCACAACCAATTTTTACATATGATGAGCAAATTGAGAACAGTAATCCCTTTATATATAATATTGTTAGTTATTTTGATGACAAGATAGTAGTTCATATTATTCGTAAAGTTTTACCATATCCTATTGAAGATAATTTTATTTGTGGAGATAAATTCTTGTCGTTTCGCACAATTTATCCTAATGGGACAGTGGTTCCAATTGATATTAAATCGGATATACTGGATGTACAAGATTTTAACTTTTGTCTATTGAACGTCAATGGACGATTTGTTAGCCCTATTGAAATTTTTCCTATAAGGGGAAATTTTCTGTTAGTAACTTTTGCTGAAGCCACGGATTTAGTTGACCCGTTTACTTATAGTGAACGGGCAATGATTATTGATTTAGAAGGGAATATTTATGGGTTAGTAATAGTTCAAATATGAAAATTTAAAGTATATGTAATAATTAATTTTTCATTTTTATAGTAACAATTCATTTGGACCTGCATATGTTAATGTTACGTCTAATGCATGGCTACCTAGTCGAGCTGTAATTTTTGTGAATTTCAATCCTGGCTATGGATTTCTCCGCTTGGCACCTATATCAAATACTAATAATTATATTTGGCAGCAATACAGAGTGTAATTAATATTTAAATTACAATTACTTTCTTATTTATTTTTATTATAGTTTAATTTACTTATTTCTATTATTTTAAATAAAGAACTGAAGAGGGAGAAATCAATCTTATTGCAAATGATATCTTACGTTTTTCAGATTCTTTTAGTCAAATAGTTACAGCCGTCCCTATGATAGACGGAAGATACGCAATCGTTTATGCTAATTCTACAAATTCTGATACCACACCCCAGGACCCTTTTTATCCGTTTGGAGCAATCTATGCCATATTTCTGGAATATAAAAATTTTACTGAATTAAAACCTGTTATTCTTTATCAAACTTCGATTCCAAATATAAGGTTTACTTATATTGATTGCGATAATTCTTATGTGGAGTTTGGGCTAAGATGTATAGTAACAATTGAAAATACAAATCTAGATGTGATAAATAAATCTTATCTAAACGTAGACTTTCTTACGTCAGGAACAGTTGAATATTTGGTTAAGCCATTGATGAATATTTTTCCAAAGATTTTAAGATTTGATAAATATCATATTAAATTATTACCGTTTGGGGGTTACTTATTAAGCGGAACACAAAAAGTTGACGACAGACACGTTTTTATTGATGGTTATATTTTTAGAGACTATAATGAAGTTTATACTTGGAACTTTACAAGTCGTACTATTTCAAACTTTGTAGGAATCTCGACAATTTTGAAAAATAATACTTACGTACTTGCTCAATCGGAGGAAGGTCGAAGTTGGTCTTTGATCACCACCGGATTTTATAAATTTCAGAATGAAAGAGGTAAAATGACGAACTCTTAAAAGTTTAAATCCAATTTATATTAAAAATTTAACCTTTGTTCATTTATTAATATTCTAGATAATAGATATGATAATTTTCTTATCGATAAAACTATACCGTATTTTAATGATGTTATCAATTCTGATATGGAGTTCCTTATGATAAAATATTATGGCGAAGTTGATTTATCAATTGGTAAAATTGCAATTTATCAAGAAAATGGGAATTTACGACAAATCATCGCTGGTAATGACCAATACGTATCTTATGGTGAAGATAAGAAAACTATTAAAGTTATAATAATCCGAAGCACATTCATTCAACCTGGAAGCAGATATTATGTTGTAATTGAAGATAATTTTGTAAAGAATCTAGCTAATCAAGAGCCTATCTATGGTGTAAAAGAAAATGTTTGGTCATTTAAAACAGGTATATTCTGTATAAATTGCTCTAATATTAATTGATATCGAAATAATTTAAATATTTATCATTAAAATAGGCCCTAAAACGGAAGAAAGTTCAGGTAAAGGTTTTATGGGGCAGGTTCGATTGACTCTAGAAGGCACTCGCTCTTTTGAAAGACTTAACGAATCAGAACGTTTAATTTTTTACGAGAAATTAATACAAGAATTGGCTCAAGCAATTTCTGTCAGTCATGAGCGTATAACAACTAATTATAGGACTGAAGTTGACACTTCAGTTTCTCCGAGACAAATAATTTTATCTTTTAATATTAAACATGATGAATCTAGAAAGGAGTTATCAGCTAACTTAGCAACTAAGGATTTAGATACTTTGATCAAAAATAAACGTATCACTATCATCGCATCCGGTGTATATTCAAAATATTTAGATGATACTTATGGATATCAAAGATTTCGTAAGAATTAATTACACCTTATGGAGTTATTTTTTATGATGTAAAGAAAATTATTAAAAAAAAAAAAATTACATATATTATTTTAATATTGGATTTGCAAAATAGCCGATCTGTGGAGTACCTATGGGCCAGCTATTGTATTATCGGTATTCGTGATCTTACAAATCTTCACTTACTTGTGGGCTAAACATTTAAATAATGAGGTACATATTAGTTGAGGTGAGACCCATCTTGGCAAAAGTGGAACTTTACGTTTACTTTAAGACTTTTTTGATTCTTTATCGTTTCGATTTTATGGTTTAAGGTACTAATGTGTGCCCTGCAACCCTAATGAATGACCTTAATTTGAACTTATATTTATTAAATACTAAAAAATAATTTTTTTATTTAGGCAAAGAATATTACAATTTTGCTATTTAGTCTTTTTATTGACAATTTCGTTATTGTCGTGCATTTTGTTATTACAGAAGTTGATG